TCCGTCCATCCATCCATCCGTCCGTACATCCATCCATCCGTCCGTCCGTCCGTCCGTCCGTCCGTCCATCCATCCCACCTAAATAACTACTACAACGCAGTGGGGCGAGTCATCCATTGATTGTTATCAGTGCCACATGCACACTAACAAGGCAAAGAAAAAAGGACAACATTGACTTGTGATAGAGATTTGAATTTTTAAGTTAGACTTGTACGCCCTTTGGTAAGCAAATTCGAACTCACAAAGCCAAAATGGCGAACAGGAAAAAACAACAGCAACAACGTAACCCTACAGATATATGAATTATTTAGCTTCTCATTACTTCTGGTCAGGGTTTTTCTTTCGTATGCTTTAATTTACCAGAAACTCAAAAAGGGGTTCCTCCCCAGAGTATCATTTCTTTGTTTGACGGTTGCGCATGAGAAGCAAATTAATATGGATACAACTCAAATAAAGATTATTTTTCTCAAGAGAATGACACGTGGCGGTTCTCAGTGCAATGGGAAAACGTTTCATCCAAGCCGAAAAGACCTATTTGGGATGTTTTTCACTATTCTGTGTGTATTTTTAACTACAAAATGCAATTAAAAGATTGAAACGACGAGATAACAAAAGACGTTAAACTGAACGTCACACGATTAATTACTTAGGTTTGTTTTCGTTCACTAATCTTTGGACTCTCGATTTATCTCCATATATATATAAGGTTTAAATATTTACGAGAAATAGATATTCATGTATACATATAGATAAAGGAAACACTCTTTAATTTACGAAATTGATCGTATATATAAATAGTACTTCTCTAAATATATATATATTATACACACCTACTTGCAAGAACGTTGACATACAAGAATAGAACATTAGTATATTAGTGAGAAAGGAATACATTAAAAGACAAAAGAAAAAGTTCAGCTTCAGTGATCTTCTTTTGTTTTTTAATATAATTCCTATCCCACTAAATAACTAATGTTCTATTTTCGTATGACAACGTTCTTGCAAGTAGGTGTATATATAAATAGTATTTTTGTTAGCAGAAATTTATCTTTTTCTTGTCGTACTTAGTTTGTAATATACATTTGATAAATATCTATACATGAGTATCGTGGCTAATCCGAACAAGCTTGATCACTTTTGTTAACACCACATTTAAAAGGTTCAGTTCAAGAATCTTGAATCATGAGGCTTATTGTTTCTGATTAAATTAATCCTATGATATATTCCCCCCAAAATAGCTTATTTTCGGCCTTAGTTTTCGAGTTTCTATACTTCGTAGGTTTTATAATTGGTACATAAAGATAATATGAAATATAAATTGAACAAGAACTCTCAGGCGCAAGATCGCTTGATCTCACTGAGTTACTGTAAGAACATATTTATATATCTAATGCCAAAGTGGGAATGCTCGAGCCATGTCGAGAGAAACGAATTGAAAAATTTATACATCTGTTAAGTCATCGCGGCCTCTCGGGGAAGCGTTAGTGCCATTTAACAAAAGATTTCTTATTAGCATCCATTGTTAACGGCACTAGAATGACCGCCATGCTTTTGTCTTTTGACTCTCTTGTGAATGCTTGCAACCCATCAATTTCAAAAACGGTTGGTGAAGGATTTTTTTTTTATGCTTACCAAGCTTGAAATATATTATATTCATATGTACCGTAAATCCTCTTTTTAGCCCCCCCCCCTCTCAAATAAGCCCCCCCCCTATTTAAAGGAAGAAATTTGTTAAGCTCCCCTCTCTTTTTAAGCCCCTCCCCTCCCCCTTCATAACTAAAATTAAAGTCTTGATACGGTAGTTCACTAACATAATCGTAAATTATACTTAAGAGACTAACACAGGTGAATCAAATAATAAAAATGCCATGCACATCACTACAGATWATGCGAGACCGTCAATAGTAATGCTTCTGTTTAATTCTGAGTTACAGTCATATTACATCCTGACAGCGTACAACTTTCTGCGTTTCGACTAAATCAATAAGCCCCCCCTCTCAATTAAGCCCCCTCTCTCCAATAAGCCCTCCCTCAGACGTGCCTGAAATAAATAAGCCCCCGGGGGGCTAAATAGAGGATTTACGGTAAATAATGTCAGAACAGAAGACAAAAATATGCCGGAAAAACGTGCAGACAAATTAAAGTTTGGGAAAATTCCATGTCATTGTGGTCTTCACATCGTCCATCAGACAGCCCATTTCAGATCTCCGACTGTCAAAGGTTTTTGAAATAGGTGTATCGTCCGACAAACAGTAATTTAAACCCATAGTTATTTCGCTTAGCTATAAGTCACTGGTTATATTTTAAAACTGATTTGATTAAAGTACMAAATTAGGAAAAAATATTACTGTTTACTGATAGCAATTTAAGATAAAAGTCATCGAGACGCTCCGAAATTGACTTCAATTTTAACCACAGAGCGAAGGGCTTTCATATTGAAATTAAATCACAAAGCATCAGTTTGAAAAGGTTGCAATTTAGGGTTTTTTAATCGAACTTATTTGCTAATGACTACGTTTTGGCTCGAAATCAAGTGTTTTTTTACTTCGAATTGTAATTGAATAGCAATTAGAAAAAAGTTTTCTCAATGCGCATGCGCGGAGCGATCTTATAAAACACACTTGGTACCACTTATGATTTGATCTTTTAGGGACTTTGGACAAGAAGAGATCGACGCAAAGAAAAGACCGGCTTTGATGAATGATCTTAATTACAATTGAGAAAGGTAAGAACAAACAAAAGCTTTCAATTAAGTAGAAAAAGTGATGAGAAATGAAATCTAAGCCATGCAACTTCATTTGAAAAACTCTTAGATTTACAAAACATTTTTGGGATTATTTTCATTCGTGATTAGCAACTGGAAAATGAACTCGAAACTCGAGGGAAAAAATCTTTACTCTTACTTTACTTTAATGTTTATTTAACAACCTAAAAAGTTTACTACAATCAATAGATGAAATATAAGGTAAAAAATAACTATAAGTTAGTGCTAAAGGAAGCCGGCAGGAAGCGCTGAGGATATAGTACTTTCTCGTTATCAATCCTTTTCTGGTACGTTTTGTTATTCTACACCCTGCTTATCCGACCAGGATCCACGCCTTAAGATTTACTTAACGATATGTGCACTTTGTGCCCGGTTTAGAATGATGGTCGCTTCTTGGAGGTTTTTAATTTTTTTTTTGACGGTCGTCCAAAAAAGGTTTTCCCCGTATACAATACTCTAACATCAAGACCATATTATATGTGAAAATGTAAAAACATACAGGACTTATGGATATGTGGTCGATCGAGTTATGTAGGTTATGTACACGTCCTCAAAAATCCCTGCTGAATTACATCAGAATTGGTCGATTTATATGTGGATTTTCGTCGATCAACGCAAAGAATGATTGCTCAGTCTTATTAGCCAAAGGTTGTATGCTATTGTTTCTGCTTTGTGTATCATCAAACGGTTTACAAATCCATAATGCAGCGAAAAAATAATTAAAATAAGTTCATTCAATATGGACTTGTGAGTTTGACACTTCTTGAAGATTAAAAAAAAAAAAAAAAAAAAAAAAAAAAAAAAAAAAAAAAAAAAANAAAAAAAAAGAAAAGAAAAGAAAAGTAGAGAAAAATGAAAAGGGAAGATCCACGTAAAGAAAGAAAGGGAGAAAGATGAGAGAAGAAGGTGGGAGAGAAAGAAGGGAAACGCGAAAGACAGGAAAAGAACGAGAGAAGACAGAAAGAGAAAAGAAAGAAAGAGATAAGAGAGGATTAGCTCGAATAAAAAGGAATGGAAAAGAGTATGAATAAAAATGAAGAATGAATGAAAAGCATGAATGAAGAAGAAAGAGGGAAAGAGAAAGATCCACGTAAAGAATGAATGGATGAATGAATCGCTTTTATTTAAACACGGTAGTTTCATAAGTTAAAAAACCTCTTTACATGAAAGCCGTATAAGAGAGAAAGGGAGAAAGAAAAGAAAAGAAAAGAATTGCCAAAATACACATGTTTACATTCATTTCTTTGCTCTCGACTCCACTGACATCTCCTGATAGGGTTAACGGATATTTACTTGATAACGTATTGAGTGCATTCATATTGAACTCCTTAAAACAAGGACCGCCTGATAGAGGCTCTTCTTAACTACATTTGTTTTAAGCGAAACCTGCCAAAAAACCCATTGATGATTCTTTAGTCAGATAGATTGACAATTAAAGCCACGTCGACATTTATCCGAATATCTTTAAAAACGGATATTTTTAACCCGTTATCAAGAAGATTCTCGTCTACACGTAGCTTTTCCGAATCGTTTTCGCCCATCCACACGTAGACACGTACCCGTTTTCGAAAAAGTTCCGTTTTCAAGCTCAAACCGCAACGAAAAAATACAGTTTTCAGAAATATCCGGATACTCATGGGGGCGGCGCTATGATATAAAACAACATGTAGCTCTGTCAACACGCACTTATATCACACAAGTACAATATTACTTTCATAGGCAGTAGTAGACGTTGAAAAACAAGATACAATTTCTAAATAATCATTCTGTTGAAATTGACAATCGTTGTACGATTTTGCAGCACCCTTATTGATCAGAGTGTTTCGGGAAGAATATTACTGTAATATATTTGGCTATAGTGACATTGGTTCTTTGCAAAGTCAACTAATGATACCGGAGTTAGATGCGGAAAAACTGAGTGTCTTTAAGTAAACAATAAAAATAAGAAATAAGTTTCATTAATCAAGTTCTCAAGATAAAAGTTTATAAGGACTTAAAAGAAGCCGAAATGGTRTTCCACTCATGGCCCACGGCTGCTGTTTTGAGGTAAATAGCTGCAGTTTTAATTCATCATAGGAAAGAATGATAAACAAGTTGTAATTAAGATCACAAACGTATAGAGATTAATGCAGGGAGTTGGTGTTTCAATGATTTTGTTTTGATCATAAACCCGTTAAGTTAGAGGGAAAAAACATGCTGAAAAGCTAAGTGTTCCAATCAAAAAACACTTCGAAGGAGAAAGCTTAATGAAACAAATGGAAAAGCTTACATCGTGGGTTGCAAGATTCTAAAATAAAACAGCGACATAACCTAGTTAAGATTAATTAATAAGATAAGTCCGAGGTTGGACTCTTTGAACGATGCAGCGGCCATCTTGAATCACAAGGTATCATGAGCCATCCAGGGGAGGAATTATCAAAGCTTTGTTACAATAATAGAGAGTTTTAGATTGACTYTTTTTCTCCCCGCAAACGGCAAACGTGACCACGTTTTCATCGTTTTCCTGTAATTAACTTAACCTCTTGCAAACTTTCTTACCAAAGACAAATACTCTTTTGTTTTTCCACTACTTGGACTTTTTTGCGATTATTTTTTAGTAATTTGAAACAATTTTTCACTGGTCAACTGACGTTTCACGTTTGCCGTGAACGTAAATCTAAAACTTCCTAATAGCGTAGAGTTGACATTTACGGTTCACAACAAGACRATCTGACARGAGATGAATTAAAATAAGAGAACAGTTCCACAATTGAGGAAATGTTTCAAATATCGTGGGGTCGTCATTTCAGCATCTTTGTTTTGTTTGACCCATAATGCCTTGCGATTCAAGATGGCCGCCGCATCGTCGAAGTAGTCAATTAGAGAGTGTTTGCATATACAGACACATGCATGAAGAGTAACTTGAATCGATGTTCGAGAGCTGCAAGACTGCAATATGCATTATATTAGCTCCATTGATATATAACTGTTTATCCAAAACACCCTTCAGTGCTTTTGTTCAGAGTCGGGAAATAATTGCTGTATAGTTACTTTTTATTTCAAATTAACGAGACCCACAATGCCCTTTGGTCTTGGAATGCACTATCCAGTATTCAGTATTCAACCCTTTTTGAAATAGTTGTGTATCCGTGATATGAATTTCAGACTTGCCCTTTCGAGCATTTACGATTTTCCGTCTCATAATGATAAATTAATAAACTAACTTGGCTATTTTTACTCCCTTTTGTAAAGTCTGCCGTTTTCCCACCTGGTTTCATTTAAAAAATTATGAAGTTTTTTACATTAAAGTTTAAATAAAACAAATTGAATTGACATGGTTATAAAGTAGTCAAGATTAATGAATTACGCAATAATACAAACAAAGACTTTTTAATTGAGGTGGCCAGACCAGGTTTACTTCAAAGCGTACCTTTGATATTTGATCGGGAAATGCGTCTTTGTCGACAGTCGACAATACTGCTAATTTATGATGACTCGTCAAGCTATCGAATTGTTTTTTTTCTTCTGATATTGTGGTTGTTTACCTTACGAAGACACAGGGAAATGAGAGTACCGTTTGTCTACCGACCACACGTAACATACTCGCATAACAGGAAATGTTTACGAACACCCCTATTGTTGTTTTCTGTGCGCCCACCAGGAAACCGCTGCGCGGTTTTGTGGGAACAAAAGCAGACACCACATCTTACTGGAGAACCAATACTGGACAATAAAGAGAGCAATTATTTATATGGAGAAAAGAAGTGCTCTTTATTTCCCTTGCGGGAGAGCGAACGGAATATACCTCTCGCTGGAGGTAACGTTTATTCATTAGAGAAAACAAGTCATTCTATTCAAAATAAGAATATTCTTTGTTTGAGTTGTATCTATATCCGTGTGTTTATCCATCCATCCATCCATCCATCCCATCCATCCATCCATCCATCCATCCATCCAT